AAATCAGACTGCCTTCTTCGGACTGAACGACAATAACAAACCACTGAAGCCACGGAGCTCGAATGTCCAACATAAAACTAACTTTACTGTGGTTTAATGTGGCGCTATGGCTCTGCAGACATTGCACGTTGCTGTCTTGTTTTGTGGTGTTTAGTGTAAAATACTTCCACACAACGGACATGTTTAGATGAAAACTTGGTTAGCTGTTAGCCACAGTGCTGCTGCACATTGTAGCTGGCTGCAAACTATGAACAGGATTTCCTGAATGTGAGGCGGGTCTTATTACTCTGGGTTCATGAGACACGCCGCCGTTCAGGAAATCTATTCCATAGTTTGAAGACAACGTGCAGAGCAGCTGGCAGGGAAATCACACGAGGAGATGTTTTACTTGGAAACACAGACATGCATCATGGATCTGAAATCTCTGCAGGTTGGATCGGAAAAATCCAATACATAAATTATGCTGGTAACGGAGCCCGATACCGATACCGGCTCGGCCCCATCCCTAGTTAAAACTCCAACAACACCAACATGGGCAGTTTTTTATTAGCATGCCGACTCTGTTCGTCTGTGATGGACTTTTAAATGCATTTTTAGGGGGGTGGTACAGCAACAACAACAAACAATTACAAAACAGAAATACACACGGAACTATGGGCTTTGTAGCCAAGAGATTTGAAAACCTCATTCAAAATCCCAACTACATGAGACATAATAAAAACAGTGAAACAGCAGAACCTGATCAAACAGTGTGTCCTGTGGCTCCATTTATGCTTTTAGATAAGGAGTTTTAGATGTTCACAGGCTAAATATTATCTAGCTGAGGAGCAACAGCTAGTTCAGACATGTCTGCAATACCAGCAGGGTGGAGGACTGAATGATATAACAGATCTGAGATATCACAGAATGTGTGTGGAAAGATTTAAGAAAAAACATATTCAGAAGGGAACACTGTTTTGCCATGCTAGCAGATTTTACCTGCATAACTAAAACTATTTATTGCAAAAGTTTCCACTCTCCCCCTTTTCTCCTTGCTGATTTGTTCAAAGAAAAACAGAAAAGATAAAATCTGTATTTAACTGCGTAAGCGGATCAAAATGAGTTGTAGTTTCAATGTTGCCACAGTACAATCATAAACATCCTATGGGGCCTAGTTCCTAAACAATGTGTACATGTTTAAAAGTATTATGAGTTCTGGTGTTTTGAATTCTGACCGTGCACGATTGGCTGGGTTACCTCGTGATGTCATAGACTAGCAGTGCTCCTGCTGCTCCTCTGTAGTAAGACCTGGTAATGGACCGGAACGACTCCTGGCCAGCCTGTTGGGATGCAAAATAGAAGAAACTGAAACCTACAGAACTCAAATGACTACCGACATGCAGATGGTACGTTATTTCTGAGCAGATCAACTGTGGTTCCACCAGCTTGGTCTTTATCTGCAAATCCTCATGTATGCTTCAGTCCTGTTTCCGAGTCCAGTTCCAGGTTTTCAGTCACTGAGAAGAGGACAACGCTGGATACAACAGAGTTCTCTCTTTCACATTTGTCTATCCATCACAGACGCCTTAGTTTTCTCTTTGCTAGCATGTATAACCTCCCAGTTTCTCAACTTATTCTAAACAAAGGTCAAATTAGCTGCAGTGTTGCAGTATGCAAATTAGACATGTAGCATTTATGTCATACTTGACAGTCCATCCAGCTCAGCAGGTCACCTTGTACCTTCACTTCTCCCCTTCCATTATTACCCCTCATTGTCTCACCTTTCCTTTGTCTTCCTTCCATCACTCATCTTTTCATTCCCTCCCTATCAATCTCCCCTCTTTCCATCATTGCTTTACTATCCAGCATTCTTACCACCCCCTCCCCAACACAACGTCTATTCATTTTCCGTCTCCGTCCAGTGTACTTTAACAATGTTGTCTGTGTTCGTCCAGGCTGGAGCAGAAAACAAAACGGCACTTCATCCTAGCAGCTGCAAATCCTGCACAGCTCTGACCTCATCTTGAAGAACAGACAGACAGACGCACAAGCAAGAACGTAGCAAGTCAATGAATCATTCAGCAAGTCGGAGAACCAGGCAGCTAGTTTGTCGCTCAGAAACTCAGTATGGAGGCAATGAAGACAGCATTTACCGATTTACAAAACCCATCAGCAGCACAGCCAGGTAGGTTAGTCAGTCAGAAACCTTTTTAGAAAACGAGTTAGAGAAGCAAACACAAAGTTAGCTGGTCACTGAACAGTCAGTAAGCAATGCAGAGAGCAGTCAGCCAGCCTGCAATGCTATTAGTGAATAAATGATAAATAAGGGTGAAAGAAAGGGAACGCTGTGTCTGTCTGCCATCTGGCCAACAGGCTTGTGTGCAGAAACACACACATACACTTATTCATATGGCAAGTGCAGCCCACACAATGCTCCAAATGGTTTCTCTGTTGGTTGCTTTTTGGCGACAGTGTTTGACTGCATAATCCCCACAAAGAAACAAGAGCCACTCAGCCTGACAGGCCTTCAGTCTGAACATAATTATTCTACACCTGGACAACCAGGTGAACAGCCAGCTATGTAGAGGGGCATAAAACCATGAGAGCCACTGAGATGTGAAAAGCAGGACAGATGATGTTTCAGGAGAAGTAGCCCAACAGAAAGTCCTGAAACATTTTTATTTTCCGTGGAGCTCTAACTCCACCTGCTGGGCAGCTGCTTAACTGCAATTTCTGCCCATCCAGCATTTAAAAATGTTTCTCTGAAGCAGTCACAATTTTTGTTTGGTGCAGCTTGGAAAAGTTCAGGAAATTTAAAAAAACGGACCTTAAAGCCATGAAAACATATGTACAAGAATAGCAACATTACAAAATAAATTAAACCTCCACCTCTTAAGAAAAAATGTTACATAATCTTTTAATTTTTCAAGGGTGATGGTAACCCTAAAATCATAAAGAGATCAAGCTACTGAACAAATGATGCTTCGTGCCTCTACTGAACTTACAACACCTGGAGGACTGAGGCTGTTCAAGAAGCACAAAGTGTTTAAACATCCCGTTTTGCCACTTAACTATTAATGTTGCTGGTTTGGATGGTTTGTAGCCAACACTCATCAAGATGGAGAAGCCTGGTAAAAAAGTACGACCTATGATGTGATAAAGTTCTGAATAACCAGAAAAGCAGAGTCCAACAAACGTTTAATGGTAAATTTCTAAAATTAAGGTTCTTGTTCTGCTGAGGAAACAAATGCGTTGACAGAACTTGGTTCTCCTAAAACAACTGATAGATTTAGTTTTTCAGAGGGAATTAGAAGGTTCAAGAAAAGTAGTCTGCATGGATTACAGACCAACAAGGTGAAAAGGCTTCATACCAGTGCAGAGGTATGTGACCTTAAACTGGCTACGTCTTTATATCCACACATGAAGAAGTTCAAACTTATTACAAACTTACTATACTAATTACTACAAAACAACAAAGTCCATGCTCAATTACTACATATCCTATCATATACTACACATCTACCACCAAAAGTGTTAAAAATAAAATAAAGTCTGTGTGTTAACAGATGTAAAGAGAGTTATTTATTTCTTCCATGTTGAATTCCGTCTCTGTGATCGCTGATAAACTTGATTTAACCAAACACTGCAGGAGACATGGGCAGATCCCTGTCATTTGTGACATGTATGTGAAATTATGATGCGCAATGAAAAAAAAAATACATAAAGAAAATCATAGTGCTGAGAGAGACAATGTCAACTTGAAAGTACTTTTAATACTTTTAGTACTTTTATTGTCTTTTACAGATCAGTCTGCTAATACATATTAATAAAATAACTGAATATAAAGATAATATCTTATGTTTAACTCAAATGAAAGAAGCTTAAGATTAACTCTAAATAATATCTGTTGGTTGTTTTATAAAGTTCTGCACTTGCAGCAGCAGCTAAAGAGGACAGTTCTTAAAAATAACAAGAAACATTAATATATTATTTACCGTATCCCAGATCTGCAATTTGATCTGTTTGCCATCTATAGTAATCATCCTTGCACCAAACTCCACACCTGGACAGATACAACAGAGGACAGAGAAATAGGAATAATTTAAAAATGGGAATAATTAATTAATTCATAAGAGTTCAGCTAATAGTAAGCTGAGACTTGAACAAACAAAAGGGAAAAACAGTAAGAGATAAACCCACGTGTCTCAACTCTTTTCCAGTGCATGTAAAGAAGCATAACTGAGTTATTACAGAGCCTAGAAATGTACACAGCAAGGACCCATCCATAAATCTGAAGTTTCCTGCAGTGGAGAAAGGACTTCACTGTAGATCATAAACACCACGTGGAAGGTCTTAGGGATGATGTCCAGAAAGCAAATTAATTATTTTAAATTAACTTATAGTATAAATTTGTCACAATTGTTCACAGACAAAAACAACTATGAATAATAAAAATAAAAAATACTGACTGAGGTTGTTTTTGTTGTCATTATGCGTGTGCATTTGACTTATTAGCAGCATTAGTGCACCAGTAAAAGTCCAGATCACTAGTCTGTTCCACAATCAGTTTGTTGGTTAGAAGCTGAAAAGTTTGAGAATCATTACTCTTACACAAGACCCTCTGAACAGTCCTTTTATGATGCACCATCTTTATGTTAGATAAACCACTGACCCACTGGATCGGCTGTTTGAACAGCTGTTTGAACAGCCGGCCAGAAGTCTTCAGTCAGAGCAAATGAAACGAGCTGTGTGCTCCCCAGGCTTATAGGATACATTAGATGTGATGTGTTGATATGGCTAGGCCTGTCACGATAACAAATGTTGCTGGGCGATTAATTGTCTCAGAAAATATTGCCATAAACGATAACATTGTTTGAAATTTGACAATAATTAGTCATTATTGTCAAATTTAAGAAGAAATATTTTATTTTGTGTGTGTAGTACCTTTTTTTGACTACTGGATGGCAGTATAAGACTGTTTGAACTGAAGGATAGAGAGTGAGGGAGCAGGGTCTAAGTAAATGGGAGGGAGGCGCCTTGACGTGACATGAGCGGTCTCTCGTTCCTGTTTTTCGGTTCTCAAAATGGCGGACGCTCGGTGAGGTCTGAGCTCTTTAGCATAGCATTTGTCACACAAAGCTTTTAATAAATAAATAAAAAATCAGTAAACAATTCTCAGCTTCTTTTTGCAGAGAAAAACAACTTTTTACATGAAGGCACAGGTTTCAACCGTGAATTTTGGAGCTTGGACAAGACGGAGGCTTTGTCTCCGAAATTGGCCTGTTATCTTAGCTCATAGATTAGCTGCCTTTAACGACCCAAAAATGCGATTTTGGACAGTTAAAACAGATTTTAAAGAGAAAAGAGAAAGGGAGGAGTCAGTGAAGAACACCAGAGTTGAGCTTTTTTCATCCGGTGTCTTCAGTAGAAAGAGAGAGACACGAAGAAACGATAAAGCTGATAAATGAAAATGAGGTGGATGATTTTCATTTATCATGCGATTAATTGATTTATTGTTTATCGTGACAGGCCTAGATATGGCTACTATACAAAGTACTAAAACTTAATTTAGAGCATGTCTATTTGTCGTACAGATCAGAAATTAAAACTCCTGCTTACTCCAACAACAGAGGTTAAGTCACATCAGCTGTAGATGTATCCGAGTCTAGAACTCCTGAATAGTGTCATTAAAGATGAGCCTTCCTGCTGCATCAGACTCTGGTGTGTGGTCAGTTGACTGTGACTTGTTCTGTCTGAATGTCAGTAGTCACTAAAACAAGCTCCAAAGCATCAGTTCAGTCAATAATAATCCATAATTGATATTTAATGCATGAACAAACAACAAAAGCTGATTACTTTCATCTCGTGAGATAAAGACATCAACTCCATTACTGTTTTGTTCAGATAAGAATGCACTACGTGTGTGTTTGTGTGTGTCGTTAATGACTTCTAAATCATTTTCACATTTACCCACATCTGAATAAATATAGTTTTACAGCTGATGACGGAGGAGAACGTGGACAGGTGCTCTTACCGATAGTGAGGTCGTGAACCGGCTGAAACCTCTTGTCTGTGAACTGTAGTAATAGACATGATTTCCCCACACCTGACAAAAAAAAATAGACATTTTATTAGGATAAAGCTAAGAAAGTTGAGCAAACAAATGAATAACACCAAACATTTTTATAAATAATTTACGTTTATAAATTTCACATACAGAGCAGAGACTCTTCGCTGCTTGTAGGTGGAAATGCTCAGCGGGGAGTTTCATATGTACAGCATGACTTAGTCTGATAAATACAACACATGCATATTTAATATGGGAAGTTGGAAATCAGCGTCCGCTTCAAACGAGCCCAGCAGGGAGCTTACACTTGTTTTCTAACCCGGACTCGGATAACTAACTGTTAGTGAGCTAAATGACCAGCTGGCTACTTGCAAAGTGTGATGTCACAATTTTTCTTTTCTTCAAAAGGGCACTAATGATTAACACGACTCCACACGCGACTGAAGCTCTGAATGGCGACATCTGCCACAGAAACAAGCACTTAAAATACACTTAAACGATATGTCTTTAATGGTTATTTATGTTATGTGTAACACTAATATAACACTAATTAGGTTGGTAAAGAAATACAGTTTAGAACAACACCAGAACAGTGGTCATCAGTTATACAACAAAGATGGAACATGGAAGTTGTAGCACATTTAAAGTAATTGAAAGTCATTACTATAATAAATAATACTGCACATTGCATGTTTTTCTAAGATCATTTATCTATCAGTTGATGAACAGTGTGTCCGATTGTCAAAGCCCATCAGACAAAGTAGTAATTTCTCTTAGGTGTTAAGACAAAACGTTAAACCAAAGTACACAAATCTGGGCAAGTATGGTGTGTTTTTCATTTAAAAATATAGACAAAATGTGACTGACTAGCTGCAGACTCAGCACGTTTTTTAAAGGATGATTTTACAGTTCTTAGATATTGATCATTACATCATATATATGGGAATAGATGTCTGTAACAATATACTTTCTTTAAAACAGAAATCTGAGCAGCCAACGAAGTTAAGTCAGGTCATCTATACGTTTTTTTTGTTGAAACGTTTCGTCTTTCATCCAAAAGACTTTCATCAGTCCGAGGAGCCACAACAACCTCAGTACCACAAGCAGCACACTCACATAGTGGGCCAACCAGTTTGATGGTGCTAAGATGGTTCCTGGAGTCCGCCCTCTCCCCCATTGACTCGTCTGAGGCAGCCGTGGCCAAAGTGGTTCAAAACATCAAAGTTCATGCTCAGTAATCCAGGTAGAAAATCCATCACTGTTCAGTCAAGTCTCAACTTTCTTAATGTTGGTACTTTTGGCCAGGGCTGCCTCAGATGTGGCAATGGAGTAGCAAACTAGTATTTTGGATGAAAGACAAAACGTTTCAACAAAAAAGAAAGCGTCCAGATGAGCTGGCTTAACTTTGTTGGATTTTTTTACCTGGTTTATTGAACATGAACGTTGATAAATCTAAACAATTTTGATTTACACAACTCAGAGTGTGAACGGTTGTCTCGTTTGTCTCCATGTGTCCCTATGATAGACTTGGGACCTGTCCAGGGTGTCCCCTGCCTCCGACTGCTGGATATGGGCACCAGTGACCCCGCAACCCAACAAGGAAGAAGCGGGTAAAAGACAGATGGATTTACTACCGTGAGAATAATGCGCTGTTCTGAGACAGAATAGCAACATTTTGGAGATGAGATGTTGGCCAACAAAACCAAAACTCCTTTGTCTAAACGTATGTTTAAATGTTTTTGCGTGAAATGTGTCAAGTAGGAGAGGAAGTGATAAGAGGCAAGAAGGTGACAGAAAGGGACACAGATCTACTCCTCAGTGGTTTCCAAGGCTCCCTGCTGCCAGACAGTGGTGTTGCTATGGCTGAGGCCGTGTGACGATAACATTAAGAGATGGAGGGATCTACAGGAGGGAACTCGAGTTAAAGAGCAGCACCTGCATTCTCTTCTACTAAAAAGACTCAATACAAGAAAACATTAACGTATATTGTGTAACTTGGTAAAATTTTCCTATTAGCTAAACACACCACGATCAATCAACTTTGCATTTCTGGTCCAGAGTTAACAGCATGGTGCTACAGAGTATGAGAAAACTCTACAGGAGCCTATAATCAAAGCCTGTTGGGGCTTCAGTATGACAGAAGGTACAATTAGTGGAGAACGAGGTAATGTTTCTGTGAAAGGCCTTTCCTGCAGCTTCAAACAGAGATAATAAGACCTGATCGTTCCTTACAATTCAAAAGATATTCTGACTTTGCTCAACCCTTCTTGAGTATCAGAAAACAAGACAACATTGTGACCGCTTCAAATCTCAATGTGCGGAGGAGAATCGCGACAGGACAGTTTATTCTAGATGCTCTCTGTTGTTCACACACAACTCACAGCAACAGACTTCTGAGGAGAAGTAAATACAGCTGGAAATGCTGTGCACAAGGGAGTGTGTGTCTAGATCACACCAAAGGTAGAACATGAAGCAAAAAGTTATGTGGAAACATTTGAAAGATAGCACTACTAAATACTTCCTCTCTGAAGACTTCTACAACATCCAAGGACCTCTTAGTACGAGTAAAAACAACTCCGGTCACTGAGTAACACCAGTCGGATTCAACAGATATTACCAAATAAAAAGCAAAGAGATTTCTAACGAGAGCGGACGACCTACAGCAACTATAAATGTAAATGTAATGATGAGGATCTAAAAAATCTGGTCCTCTGGACATTCAAAAAACAAAACGAAGCAAAACAAAACAACAACAACAAAAAAATGTAGAAACGTTTCGTCTTTCATCCGAGAGACTTCCTCAGTCTGAGGTGCTGTAGAGGAAGTCTTTCGGATGAAAGACGAAACGTTTCTACATTTTTTTGTTGTCGTTTTGTTTTTTGAATGTCCAGAGGACCAGATTTAACTTTTTTTAAATTTTCTACCTGGATTATTGAGCATGCATCAGGATAATGAGGAGGATATTAAGGAAAACGTGAAAATCTAAGATTATTCATGCGTGTGTGTATGTGTGGGGGGGATAAATGAATACCACAGGTCGCATCATTAAAAATAAATGAGAGGACACTCCGTTGATTTGATTTTCTGACAGCTGACTAGCAGTTGTCATAGCAACCAGTCCTTCATGACCAAGGTCTGTGCAAGCTGTCTTAGCAAACTAACCCTAACATACGAGGGCTTTACCTTTGGACGGCCACAGTTTGAGTCCTATATGAATCATGTTTCAGGAAGGATGCACACATCTGTGCTGAACACAAATTACAGAGGTCGACTGGAATAGCAAACGATACAGAATAAATGAAACGGGTTTCAAATGAGAAATCAAAAAATGGCCAGTCATATTTTTGAGAACTACATTTAACCCAAATATATCCAACATTTAGTGAGAAACTGCACTGAGGTGTAGCAGATCGTTTTAAAGCCACTGCAATCATTTAATGAACAGATTTACCTGTTTTTTATATTTACCTGGAGGGCAGCACAGTAAATGAAACAAAACTTGTTTTGAATTAGAAAATTAAATCACATCAGCCGAGTTTCTGCTACTGACAAATGAACGTATCATTAGGAGGACGACTTTAGAAGATGTGCTTGTGTTCTGAGGTGATGCTGCTCTGTTCACTTCCACCAGAAACCTGAAGCTCAGTCCCTGCTGAGGAGTCCAGCATGCTGCCAGTCCACATGACATGTGCAAACATGCCCACCAAGGTTCCTTCTAGCATACCTATACTGTTTATACATTTCAATCGCTTGTCAGGTCAATAATGCCTAAGTGACTTGTTGCAGTTCACTCCATATCCTTTAAGAACAACTTCTAACACATTCTTCAGATCACCAGTTCAATTATGAGCAGGTTCATTAGAAACCACATTGTGAGTCAGATCATAACTGGGAGCCACATGACTCCGTTTAAGTTGGTGTTAGCTATGATCTCTGTAAAATTGTTCTTCAGAAGCCGAGGATGTCTCGCCAAGTTGGCCTTTAAAATTAAAAACCCTTAAAAAAAGAAACCGTACAGATACTATTAAACTCTACTGTGGTTTCTGTTCATTTTTAGTTACGATAGTTTGATACATACATAGGTTTAAGATTGTTTCTTTTTGCTCTGACACTGGTTTATTAAGTGGTAGGTAAAGGTTTACAGTGTGACTGAAAGTAGAAATAGACACAATCAAACTCCACAACTTATCCAGGACTGTAACAACGATATTGATGACTGAAGGATGCATTTCTCTTATTAGCTTAAAAATCTGTTTTCTTATCTTAAAACTGAACAGCTTAAAAATCTCAAGAGTGAATTTAACCAACGCTGAAGTTGTTCCTCAGAGGCCTATTTTTGAACATAGCAAAGGCTATAATTTCCTGCTTGGATTCAGCATCTCTGGACAGCCTTGTTGGAGGCCCCGAGTCCAAATAACAAGACAGTTACTTTATATATTTATTCATACATCAAAACAGTTGAACAGAAGTTGTTTTTTCTGTGAGCCAAAGCTCCTGTGTTGCATTATAAATACATGGAGACTGAAATAATTTTAAATGTAATGCAAGGATTGTTTCAGGACTTTTACAAGAGGAAGAATTTGGGAAGATGGATTGTTAAAACACGGCACGCTCAGAACACCAAGACATTTTTGTCAGTAGGCAGCAGACAATAAATTGCACATTTAAGAAAATACCATTGACGACACGGACTCAGAAAACCATTTATCTTGAACAGAGACATATAATTGGCCAGAGAAAAATGCAACTCTTAAACTAAGCAGAAAAGACCCAAAGTTTAGTTAAGCTTATAAAGCGTAAATTGGACTGAAGTGTGAAATGGCTAAGAAGAAAAAGTCTGGATCATGCAACTAAAAATATATCTGCCATGGACAGCTAAAGGAGTCTGACAGCAGAAAGGTTTCCTGCATGTACTTCAAATCTCATAAATCAGACGGACCGGCAATGTTTCCTCATTCTTCAGCTTTAAGATAACTGAACGAGTGAAAAGATGTAGTTTAATCAGCAGTTCTAACTAGTCCTGTGAAAGAACCAACATT